CTCGGTGCTGCGGATGGAATGGGGCGTTAAGGACGTGAGAGATCGCGAGATTCAGCAACGGACGGCTCTCCGCTGCCGCTGCCGCCGCCGCCGCCCCCTGGAGCCCCCTCCCTCCTACAGTCGCTGCTGCGCGCTCAGCCCGATCGTGGAAGCAAGCCCTAATCTGGGGGCTGCTGGCCTGCCTGCCCCGCCCAAACCAGTCGTCCAAGACCATTACCGCCCAGCCCTCTTAGCTCGTATTATGAACCGGTCTACCTTAGCTCGAGAGAAACTAAGCTGGTCTCGGGAGGGACACGAGGCTAGGAGGCGGGAAAGGGCGAGAGAGTGTGATGAGACAGAGAGCGAGAGAGAGAGAGAGGGTGAAGTGGTGAGAGCTTCCTGGAAAATGTACTAAATTTGCTTTAAGACCCTTTGCTGATGACGTCGTGCCTTGTTGTGTTGCAGGAGGAGCCTCGGCCGGTTGCTGTGAAGATGAGGTGAGTGGACCGGTAGCAGCCCCCGCTGGCCTCGGTAGTGGTGCCTGCACCAGGCCAGCTGGCCGCACGTCGCTGCTCCATCGCGCGGCCCTCACGTCTCTAATGAAAGCGCCCTCGGTTATCCCAGGCGCGGGTCCACCGCGCCTGGGATATTGGTGTGGGGGGCCTGCGTTTGCCCGCGCACCGCCGGACGGAACCCCGGAAACAGCTGATAGACAAGGGGAGCTCCAGGAGTGGGGAGGGGGGAGGGATTGTGCCTCGCAGGCATCAGCACTCAGCAGTCGTCCAGCGCGCGCAGCACTAGCAGTAGCAGCAGCTCCTTTGTGTTTGGCGCCCACGGCCTTGTAGTAGACATGCGCCAAACCGAACCGGACCGCGTGCGGTGGTAGCTGCGGCCAAGGAGGAGAGGGCCGTGCGGTGCGGTGTGCGCGGGGACGAGGAAAAGGAGGCAGGGCCACCACCGCCGGGACCTGCTCGACCGCGCCGGCCATCCCTTGTTGCCATTGGCTCCCCGGTCACGTCGGTCTGCTGTCGAACTCCTGTTCACCACGATGGGCGCCCCGCCCCGCCTCGCCTCCACCCCACCCCCGATGGCTCGCCTGGCTCGCCACACATCAGACGCATCAGTCCGCTCCGCTTTGATGCGCCTGTCTGCGGAGCGAGCGGGCGGGCGCACCCAGCGCAGCAATGTACCTTCTGCCTGCCTCTCAGAATAAGGGAAAGAGAGAAAAGAAAAACTTACCCTGTTCCAAGTCCAACACGAGAAAAGGGAATCGGTGGTTGGCACGGCGAAAGGCAAATACGAAAGTATTTATTTTATCTTTTCGCTGTAAAAATGTTTTTTTTAGTGCATGTTTTTTTTTTTTATCAAGAAATACTTAGGAAGCAAGATAAGATTCTTGAACACCGTTGAGGGGGGAATATATTTTAAGGGACTTTCTTTTCCCGAGTAAGTGTTTCGCTGATTCGTTGCCCTGCTCCGTCCTCTGCTCCGTCCTCTGCTCACCCCCAAAATATGTCAATAGCAATAAAATCCGCTCTCGTCTTCCCTTCGAAAGTGCGCGCGCAACAAACCGTTCCTTTCTGTACTGCGGTTTTGCCTCCTTAGTTCTCTGCGGCACACTTCAGACACTCTCTCTCGTCGGCCCCTTGAATGGCCCCAATATCTGCACGCGCGCAGCGGTCCAGCGAGGGGGCAGAGAGGTCGGGCAGGGGGTTGAGGGGATGGGGAGGCTGCGGTAAGTCAAAGCACACCGCGCCGCGGTCCAGAGCGCGCGGTCGAACGGAGCCTTAGCGCGCGGTGAATAGAGAACTTTGCGCGGTCGAACCACGCAGCCCCTACCCTGTCAAGTGGTTTTGAAAAATTTGTCAGTGAACGTCCTGGTTTCAGACTACGGTACCGTTGTTTTGTTTCTGGAAAGTTTTATCCTCTACTCTGACATTTATATCAGCAAGACTTGCCTTTTCTTTTATTTAATTTGTTCATTCTCTTGTTAATTGATCCCTGTCGTTGATTCGTGTCTGCGAGTGACAACAACCGTCAGGACGTCAAAAGGGTTTGCTCCAGACAAGTCGGCTGTATCATCTCCATCTCCCCTCAATGAGGGTGTTGCTCTGGCAGGACGCGGCGTAGCGCAGGGGTTGGGGCCGGGCTTATGTATTCAGTGCGGTGACAGGGTAATCTGTTGTTATACGGACTGCCGCTCAAAGCGCTTTGGCTCCTGATAAGAACCGCTGTCTCCGCTGATGCCGAAAAGAGAGCAGAGAAAAAAGGGGGTACGCAGGCGATGCGCGGATAGATGAATGGGAGAGGGCAAAGCGGAGAGGAGAAAAGGCGAGAGGGCGTGAGTATGTGTGGGCAGGGAGAGCGAGCGAGAGGGCTAGAATGCGGGAGGGAACGCGAGGAGTGAGAAAGACAGAGCGGAGCGTGGGTGGGGGAGGTGAGGAGGTCGTGTCGCTGTCATGGAGATGAGAGATGCGTGTTGCAGCGCACGCTGAAAGGATATATTTTGCCGGTTCATGACGCGAGTGTTGTGTGATCCACACAAGGGTCGTGCAAACAGTTAAACTCTTGACAATTACGCGGCCTCTTTACACAATTGTCATCATAGAACAACCCCCTTTACCCCTTGCACACACAACTCCGCCGCTAAGTACGCACCCTTCTGCGCTTCTCAACATGTTTCAAACGCCCAAATTAAGCCACCCTTTATTCGTGGCCCTCACTCAGGAAACCGCTTTTCTTCGGGAACAAAATCATAATGTCATTGCCCCCCCCACAAAAAAAAGATCGTCAAAACATGAAAAAAATCTTCACTCTATCAACATCTGTTGAATTCAACAAAACCTGTTTTTAATGATTTTTTTTTCGTTGCCTGACCAAAAATGTGTTTTTCGGTTCTTGCACGAAATTTTCGTTAAAGCGTAAGTCTAATGTTGTTACCTGAAGAAGCTAGTTTTGTGAGCACAACACTGATGAATAAATTGTGCAGCTAGCGTGCACCGACAACTTATTAACACCACGTTCACACCTTTACGGGTTTGACTGAATATTTTGAACACCAAAAGTTGTTTAACAGTAACGTTAAACACTTGAACTGTTCAATGTCCGGGTTAGCCATGTAGCTTTGGACACTCTGTTCAAGAATTTACTGTTGAATATTTAAAGTATTCAAATTTCCAGCCGGACTAGTCCAACAACTGATACTGTGCACCATACAGTTGAAAACGGTACCGTGTGGATGCCAGGCCAGCTGCTCACTTCTGTTTTTAGTGTATGTCCCCAGAACCTTCCTCTCGGCCAGGCGACCCTCGGAAAATACTTCCAATATACCGAATATCGATAAGCCGAATAAGTGGGGTTATTATGCGACCTAACTGGTAGCAGTCGTGCATAGTTTGTCCTACGTACCGAGCTGACACGAAGCCAGTCTCCAGTCTGTTTCTTGCTTCAGCTCCTTTCACCTTTCTTCTTTAGTTAACTTTGACCCCCCCCCCCTCTCTCTCTCTGCTCCACCCCACTTACAGTCGCTGTCCTCCCAAACCTGATAAGCCCCCCCGTGGCTGTAATCCAGAGAGCAGTAATCCAGTTTGCCTCGGGTTGGCGCCTCCATCTCTCCGCCCGCCGCCCTCCCAGGCCAGGCCGGCAGGGCGTGTGTGGAAGAGTGGCGGCCCTCGTGAGTGTGACTGGACTGCGACTCTCTAATAGAGAGGGCGTGGGCACGCGCGAAAGAGAAAGAGAGAGAGAGATTCCCTACCGCACCGTAGCAGACCAGGCCCTGCCAGTTAACGTTGCACATTGTGCGGTCACCGCACCGGAGCCATCACGCTAAGTTGGAGAGGGATAAATTGTCGTACCCTGAATTAACCGGACTGCCAATTAAAATAGCCGTCACCACGGGCCGTATAATATGTGGACTCTTTTTAGGCGCAAAGAACGTGTGAAGGCAGCCAACAGCAATTACTAAACGATTTTCGCACACGTCTCGCTTATTAGTGCAACGGCACCGGGCCTGCATGGTCCGACTGAATGGTGAAGTTATTGGCCCACACGCTCGGATGGCAAGGTTTGCCTCCGACTATTAATTGGACCGGCTCCAAGTGCAATTGGATTCGCACACGCTCGTCGCGCTCTCTCTCTTCTTTACCGTCTCTCCCACTCTGCCATATTATACATCTCCCCC